ACTGAAGCCCAACACATTGAGGAGGTATTTGTTTTTACTTTTTTCCGGTTCGATTTCGAGTAAAAGTCGTCCTAAAACTAAGTATAATGCTAATTTGCTATGATTTCAAACATTAGACACCTAAGACTAGTTATAATTGACATGTTATGATAAAGAAATTGCTCATTAGATAAGAAATGTAGAAATCGGGCAACGTAGTAGTGAAATAGGCGATTTCGGGTAAAAGCCGTCCTAAAACTAAGTATAATGCTAATTTTCTATGATTTCAAACATTAGACACCTAAGACTAGTTATAATTGACATGTTATGATAAAGAAATTTCTCATTAGATAAGAAATGTAGAAATCGGGCAACGTAATAGTGAAATAGGCGATTTCGGGTAAAAGCCGTCCTAAAACTTAGTAGAATGCTAATTTACAATGATTTCAAACATTAGAAACCTACTAGTAGTTATAATTTACATGTTATGATAAAGAAATTTCTCATTAGATAAGAAATGTAGAAATCGGGCAACGTAGTAGTGAAATAGGCGATTTCGGGTAAAAGCCGTCCTAAAACTTAGTAGAATGCTAATTTGCAATGATTTCAAACATTAGACACCTAAGACTAGTTATAATTGACATGTTATGATAAAGAAATTGCTCATTAGATAAGAAATGTAGAAATCGGGCAACGTAGTGGTGAAATAAGCGATTTGGGTAAAAATCGTCCTAAAACTTAGTAGAATGCTAATTTGCAATGATTTCAAACATTAGACACCTAAGACTAGTTATAATTGACATGTTATGATAAAGAAATTGCTCATTAGATAAGAAATGTAGAAATCGGGAAACGTAGTAGTGAAATAGGCGATTTCGGGTAAAAGTCGTCCTAAAACTTAGTAGAATGCTAATTTGCAATGATTTCAAACATTAGACACCTAAGACTAGTTATAATTGACATGTTATAATAAAGAAACTTCTCATTAGGTAAGAAATGAAGAAATTGGGAAAGTGAGCACCCGAGGCAACAGCTTCGGGTTATGCTAGGCAACTGCAAGCAGCCAGCCACCAAACTGCAACAGCTGCCAGGCAGCCGCAGCAGTAGCCTAGGCAGCTGCCCAGGCACCAGCAGCAGCAGCCTAGGCAGCTGCACAGGCAGCTGCAGCAGCGGCCACAGGCAGCTGCAGCAGCCACCAGGGAGCTGCACTGGCAGCTGCAGCAGCCACCAGGCAGCTGCCAAGGCAGCTACTACAGCAGCCCAGGCAGCATCCGTTCGTGAAACCGAGCCGTTCATGAAACTTTGTGTAATTTTTGCGTACTTGCATTGTTAGTGTATTATGGACAATGTTTATGAAAAAAAATTCCAAACGGAAAAAAATATAAAAAAAAAAGGGCAAGTAGAAGTGGAAAAGGCGATTTTGGGTAAATGTCGTCCTAAAACTGAGTAAAATGATCTTTTGCTATGATTTCAAACATTGGACACCAAAGACTAGTTGTAATTGACATGTTATGATAGATAAATAGCTCATTAGATAAGAAATGTAGAAAACGGGCAAAGTAGTAGTGAAATAGGCGATTTCGGGTAAAAGTCGTCCTAAAACTTAGAATAATGCTAATTTGCTATGATTTCAAACATTGGACACCAAATACTAGTTTTAATTGACATGTTATGATAGACAAATAGCTCATTAGATAAGAAATGTAGAAAACGGGCAAAGTAGTAGTGAAATAGGCGATTTCGGGTAAAAGCCGTCCTAAAACTTAGAATAATGCTAATTTGCTATGATTTCAAACATTGGACACCAAAGACTAGTTGTAATTGACATGTTATGATAGATAAATAGCTCATTAGATAAGAAATGTAGAAAACGGGCAAAGTAGTAGTGAAATAGGCGATTTCGGGTAAAAGCCGTCCTAAAACTTAGAATAATGCTAATTTGCTATGATTTCAAACATTGGACACCAAAGACTAGTTTTAATTGACATGTTATGATAGACAAATAGCTCATTAGATAAGAAATGTAGAAAACGGGCAAAGTAGTAGTGAAATAGGCGATTTCGGGTAAAAGCCGTCCTAAAACTTAGTTGAATGCTAAATCGGGCAAGTTAGAATGATGTTTGAATTATTTAACATATATACATTATTATTTTTAATTATTAGTTTGAATTTTATGTAATATATATGAATGATGTTTAATGTTTGGTATTTTTTTTGTTTTCAAAGGTTTGTAAAAGGGAAGGCCCTTTGACAAAGGAAGAGGTTGATGAAATTCGCGACATGTGGGCTTTTTTTGTGACATTTGATGGCATCTAGGTAGAATATATAATATATATGTGTTAGTTAGATAATGACTTGGATTGAGTTTTATTTTATTATTTTTTTTTATGAACAATAATAAATATTAATATTTAGTTGTTACATACCGTATCTTTTTTATTTTTATATATAGTACGTAAATCCATATGTACATTATATTACTTATTTGTAATTAGTACTATACATTATTTATGAGTTTTATATATGTTATTATTATTATGCATTTTATTGTTATTGAATTATTATTATTCCAAAATTTGTAATATTTTTAATTAATTATTATTTATTAATATTAATTAATATAATAATAATATTAATAATAATAATAATTTTTAAAAAACTAGAATAATGTGCTTCTCAAAACAGGTCACTAATAATATTATTATTATTAATTATTATATATATTAAAATAAAAAAAATTACAAATGGGAAGCAGTTTGGCGCCAAAACCGCTTCCCATTTGCACTGCACATAATGTTATGTGAAGTGCAAATGGCAAGCGATTTTGGCGCCAAACCGCTTGTCATTCTCCACAAATGGGAAGCGGTTCTGAACCGCTTGCCATTTGCTTGGCAATTGGCAAGCCCCCTAAACCCATGCGGTTCAGACCCGCTTCCCATTTGGGGGTTTGAACTGCTTCCCATAATGTTTTTTTCTACTAGTGTTATTACCCTTCTGATGTCAAATTTGTAAATTTGGTTAATTATAGGTAAGTCCAAAAGTATTCAATGATACTAAAGCACATTTGTATGTAAGATTTTTGGTAAATATTCTTATCAAATATTATACGCATGCAAATTTATTATATACTCCATCTAAGAGTTTGAAATACAAAATAAAAATACTTGTAATCTAAAAATCCTTGTTAAATGACCAACTCAATAAAATGCTTATAAATTAGATCATAAAAACATATCATCATAAATTACATGAGTTGTAAATTAGATCATACAAACATATCAATCATCATAAATTACATGAGCTGTAACAAAATATAAAATTGAATGCCAATATATCTGAACTAATCAAACCATATGCATACGAATTCATTATATACTCCATCTAAGAGTTTGAAATACAAAATAAAAATACTTGTAATCTAAAAATCCTTGTTAAATGACCAACTCAATAAAAAGCTTAAGCCAATAGTTGAAGTCCAAGATTATGTTTTTATACTCTATCAATTCTAATTTAAATAAAAAAAAAGTAGTGAAGCACCTTAGAAATAAAAAATAATGTAACACTTACCAACATTAGTTCATTTTTGTATAACAAACATTCATATTATTAGTATTTGCATGACTTCATAGCTAGGTTGCTTGCACAATTAGTAAAAAAACAAAAACACACAAATAGCATTAAAACCTTTTTTATTTTTTATTTTTTTCTAAAAAAAACTTCGTAGTTATCAGTTACCTAAAAAGTTTAAGTTAAATATATATTTATTTATTTATTTATTGACATAGTCAAAAGATTGAAATAAAAAAGAGTAATAAAAATAACCAACTCATAAAAATAAAAAATAAAAAAAAAATAAAAAATATATATACTACCTCCGTTTCATATTATTTGCAACGATTTGACATAAAGTAGAGAGGAAAAATGTCTAATTGTTGCAAATAATATGAAACGGAGGTAGTATATATAAATATATATATATATATATATATATATATGACGTCATAAGTGCGTTTGACGGGAAAGTTTTTTATGAGAAAGCGATACGTATATAATTTGGGGAGAGGATAATGTCAACTATTTTCTGTTTTAGTAATAGTTAATGGAGTTTCTCCCTTTTTTCCCCAAATTCTCTTGCTACGTATCCAATTATATTGATCAGCCCCTTATAACCCCCAAAATCCCTTAATTGTACTTTGTATTCCCCCTCCTTCCAGCCAATTCTCTTGTCTTGCTTGTAATTAAGGTAGAATTTCTTTATTTTATATGTTTTTAATTGTTTTCAATCGAAACCCTTTTTCAATTGTTGTTCTTTGTCAACAAAACTGGGTGTTCATGAAATTAGGGTTTATGTAACGCAATTGCTTTATTTTTGTTGCACATTTTCAATGTCCTCTGCACTTCTCCATTAATGATCTTTAAATGCTTTTGTAAATTTAGTCTATATCATCAGTGTGATGGTTGAGGGAGTGATAATGAAGGGAGGGAGAGTAGATGAGAGAATAACGTTTTTATGAATAATAGAATTAACTGATTTGGGAAAAAGGGAGATATGACTTACTGTATTAAAAGTCACTTAAGGATTACGTGAGATGGTCAAAGTCGGAAAGAAAAGTCAAGGGTGGAAATCCGATGGAAGGTAGACAGGTAGTACTACATTACAACTAACATTTTACATTTTAACAGGTGGAGTAGTTAATTACTAACATTTTTTATTACTTGGTAGCCTCTTAGGCAATTTCTCGCAGAGTTTATTTATTTTTTCGTTTTTCTATTTCTCCATTTTCTCGTTTATGTAAAATGGTGTGTGGCTGATGATTCTTCCCAATATGTTGTAAAAAATTCTAAATTAATATTGAAATTATAAAACCAAAGTAACCGCATGTACAATCTTCTGTAGTAGACGAACAGTGTTCAATTTTCAATTTGCAATTTGCAGGCTATGTACTGTGTCATAACAATATTTTTCTTAGAAATTAAAAGGAAATATGGCATTGTAAGATTAACTTTGATACTCATGAATGTTAACGAGGGTGAAGCTCCGTTATGGAAACCTCGTTTGTTGAATTCCCAACAAAGTTGTTATTACTAGATTGGTTTGAAGTACTACCCTGTAGTGGAGCATTGTCTAGCATGTTGCCACGGTCGAAAAAGGCAGGCTTCGATGGCACCGGTAGGGAGATGGGATCACTTCTTAGCATAAGATCAGCTAGAGGCATAGTTGGTCTATCTTTTGGGTTCTGTTGTACACACAGTAAGCCAACATGGATACATCTTAGAATCTCCATGCTATGAGCGTTCGACAATGCAGGATCCACAACATTCCATGCTGTGCCTTCTATCCAATTTCTCCACACCTAGAAAATTAAATGTTCCAAGATCAGCAATTAGAGAAATTGAGCACTCATGCCTACTCGATCAAGTGGTCTAAGATTATTGGTAGTTTCCCATGTGTGAGTGAAGAATAACCGTCTAAGAAATGTACTTTATTACTTGAAGAAAACAAGTCAATCATGAACTGTATAATCATTAAAACATTATAGTAGTCAAATTTCAAACTACTACAATATAATTTTGAATGATGACTAACTAAATTTTTTTTTATGTACTACTATCAATGTAACTTTAGCATGGAATGAAACCAAATAAGGTAATGTTGTTGAGATATTGTATTAGCAAACTTACAAATTCAAGAAGGGTTTCTAGATTTTGTTCAGATCGAAATGAGCTAATTTTTTGCCCGCTTATAATTTCCAATACTAGAACTCCAAAACTATAGACATCCGACTTCATGGAAACTTGGCCTTGAAGCACGTATTCCGGAGCCATGTATCCACTACACCAAAATTGGATCACATTTAATTAGATGTGGTTGGAAACTAACTATGATCTTCAACTATAGAATTGCAATATATTACAGAGTATATATATACTTACAAAGTACCAACAATTTTGCTTGCCACTGATTGAGTTTGGTCAATGTTGAATAGTCTTGCCATACCGAAATCTGATATCTTAGGGTTAAATTCTTCATCCAAGAGAACATTTCCAGCTTTTAGGTCTCGATGAATGATTCGAAGTCTTGACTGTTCATGAAGGTAGATAAGTCCTCTTACAATACCATTGATGATTTTAAAGCGTGTCTCCCATCGTAGAAATGTATGCCTCTTAGATGAATCTGCAGTTTTTTTTTTAAAAATAAAAAACGTATTTAGAATATATTTAACATAACATAGTACATTGAGTACTCGTACCAAACCTACATGTAGATTGTTGATTGATGCTCCAAATATCACGATATATAGCTAGTTGCTATTTTCTAGTACAAGTTGTTAATTAGTGAATGTCATGAACTTTAATATGAATCAAGGGGGTATGTTGGATATATCGTGGATTAGTGATTCAAAGTTAATTGTTGACTTTTCTTAAATTTAGGAATAAGAAGTTAGTGGTTACTTTTAGTATCACAGTAAGTTGTTACGTGAGAATATGATGTAATGCATCCCTAGTCTATTTGTTATACCTATATAAGGCTTTCATTGTAGTTTGATTAATTACAACTTTTATTATTCTTTCCCTTCTCTCATCTCTATTTATTATTTCAACATAGATTAACCATACCAAATATAAAATAATCGAGGCTGTTGTTGGGCAAAAACTCGTAAACTAGAAGCATTTCATCCTCTTCCAAGCAGAATCCTAAAAGTGTCACTAAGTTTCGATGCTGGAGCTTAGCCAATATAAGAATTTCATTCTTAAATTGCTCATCGCCACCCCTCCCTAAATCCTTTGTGACAAGCCGCTTCACGGCTACTTCTTTGCCATCAGGCAGTTTGCCCTGAATTGATGAAAATTAAACAAGATATACACTTCTCAATCAGGTAATAACTATTTATGATCAGAAGTTATACAAAGGTGAAGGTCCATCACCTTGTAGACAATGCCAAATCCACCTCTTCCAAGCCAATTATCTTGTGAAAAATTGTTTGTTGCAACCTTGATGTATTCGAGATCAAATTGCAATGACTCGAGGGTAGCATTATCATTTTCTGTAATACTTAAATGAATGGCATAAGCTCTTATTTATGTCACGAGCTAATTAACTTTTAACTCTATCTGCACCATTTAAATCGAACCTACCCGAGCATTGTTTCGTCTTTCTCCTTTTATGAATGTAGAAAGCAGTAATGGCACAAAGAAGAAGAACTATGAAGCCTACAACAGGAATTCCAGCTCTGATAATATAATAAATAGCACCGTTACTCTTGTCAGCAGCAGCACTGGATTCTGTAGGAGTAAAGGAGTGTTAATAAGATAGACCCAAAAAAAAAAAAAAAAAAAAAAAAAAAAAAAAAAAACTTTTACAATTGTTTAATAAAAGGTTTATCCCCTTATAAAGTATTCGACCTTCTCAATTTTATATCAATGTGGAATGCTTACATGTATTAGGATATGCTTCAAAAATAATTGCAATAACATGCACATCTGACTCTTCAAGGTAAATAATTATTGTTGTTAACTTCGAGCAACGTTTTTAATAGAGTATAAAACTTATTCCTGAGCCTCAACCATGAGAAATATTATAAGATTATTTTTTTTCTTAGCAAATTTTCAAAACATCAATTTTTTGAAATAAAAGTTGTAACTAGCTTGTACAATGTCAAATGTTGCATTTTATTGGGATGGAGAGAGTAGTAATTTTGACGGCTTTATGTGCATAAATTTTAATTAATCCATCATATATCAAAAGAAAAGTACAATATCGAAGCTGAAAAGAGTTGATTAAAACTAGTTTAATTGATGCATTAATCAATAGGTCTACATTCATTATTGACTATTAGTACCTGGTGGGAGTGGTGAAGAAGGCTGAGGTGGAGGCAACATTGGATAAAAAGGTGATATACCATAAATCAGCATGCAACTAGGCCGAAGTATCGCCAGCGTTTGGCTCCTACAACAATCATCCATCATATCTCCATAAGCAAAATGCAAGCAAGTTTCACACTGTAAGCCAAGTATATCAGGAGTACATTGCGTGAGACAGTATAATTTCCGACCATGAGAGAGGTTAGCCTCTGTCGTAGCATAGCCGTGATAAGCATCTTGGTAAGATGCTTTCATTATAATGTTCTCCATTGTACTGGGAAGTACCTCCTCTATTTTAGCCGAATCAGACATGTTTCCGGGGCTTCTCCAACTCATCCAAGCGTCATAACTTTCCGGCTTGTTGTCAAAATAGCTGTTTGCATATCGCAGTGTACATTCCATGTAAAACATAAACGAGGTCTTTATTTTAGGACAAGATTGTGTAATATTCTTCGCTGCCAATTGCACACACTCATTGCAGAGATGAGTAGTGATATCACTTCTACAAAAGAATAGACCGTATACTTTGTCCGGGCTTTCACCACTAGTGGTGTTGAAGTATTTAGTTTTGGAGGCATGGGCTATGAGATCTTTAAGGAGGGCGTTGAGATTGTTTTCGTATCGGCTATTTTGTGTGTAATTACCTGTGTCATGAATACATATATGGGAAGCATGGTTTAGCTTTGAGGCTGCAATAGGAGAAATCAAAAACAACAACAAATGATAAAAGATTAGGAGGAGAGGTTTTGACATGTAGTTAAGTGATGTTACCATTTTGGCTTATGTTTAGTTAATAAAATTTGGTCATGAAATATAAATAAGACATAGATATTTTGTTGACTTCTTATAGAAATAAGACATGGAAACCATAAATTACAGTTGTGGTCTGACTAGTTTATATAGAAGTAATCAACCCTTTTGTCATAGTGTAATTTTCATTAGTGTTTAACATGATTATGTCTATCTTACAATATAGTTAATTATCATCTATTATATAGTGAAATATAAAGTTTCCAAGGGGGAATTTTTCTTACAATTAAGAATTTGCTATTTCTAGAACATGTTTATTATATCCTATCGTTTAGCCTAAACAATATATAAAAATATACATACAAATACTTAAATGGACCTGGTTCACACTAATTTATTGTGCACCACTAACATTAGAGACAATATGATTTATTTGTTGATTAAAAAAAAGGTCACTATATTAAAATAAAGGTTATTATGTTGAAATAAAAGTTAGTGTGACATTAAAAGCTATAAGAGGTTAATTTTTTAATGAAATTTTAATATAATGGTCAATATGAATAATAAAGATTACTATGTTAAAATTAGGTCACTATCTAACATAATATCGTTCTTTAAGTTCATAATAACATTAAAGGTCACATAAGTTTTTAAAAAGGTTACTATCTTAAAAATAAGATTACTATATTCAAATCAAGAGTCACTATGTCGAATATAATGTCAGTTACATGTGTATAAACCTTAGGTCCACAATAATATTATTGTGGACCAGGTCCACGCAAGATTTTCTAATAAAAATATACTTGTTGCCTTCCACTTATCTATTTTGAGTTGGAAACATTAAACAATCAGGAGATACTAGTCTAGGCCAACTTATTAATCGTTGTGTTGAATGTGTTCATCTTCGGAGGATCCTATCGTGGAAAAGAGTCGGTAATCGAATCCTTGTTCACCGATGAACGCCCAATCGTTCTCTGCTTGCTATGATGATGTGACCTAGTGTCCCCTCTACTAGCAATGGACGTGATGAACGCAGGACATGAAGGCACCGGAAGAGCGAATGGCTACTTAGTATTAACACTAAAAAGGAAATTGTTGGTCGGTACTCTGCATTTTCTTGAACACAAAATAAGCCCATGTGTATGCACCTTATAATATCCACCTTTGATCTTATTGACAATGTTGGATCCACCATTTTTAAAGGTGTACCTTCTCTCCAATTTCGCCACACCTACACAACATTATGCACATACATAGTATAAGGTATATAAATCTGATTTGTTACATAAACATATACAACAAAATGACCCTTTTGTCACAAATTATGCCACGGGAATAAAAAATTCGTGGCATAATTTGAGCTTGCCACGGGAAAATGTAGTCAATCCAAAAAGTTAATTAAGCACAAAATATTATGCCACGGGAGAAAAAATAAAATAAAATCGTGGCAAATTGAAACTAGTTTGAAATAGAAATATACAACTATACAAGTCATCAAAAAAATTTAAAGAATCATGTAAATTTTGCATGCAAAAGATAAAAATTTATTCTCCTTAATAGGTGGTGTATCAAAAGCTTACAATACTTTTTGGGGTATTACTTTACAAATCTTAAGTAGCCCAAAAGCAAAACAAAAAAAGCCTCTTTAAAGTACATCGTTATTCACTCACTTGCTGCTCAAAGCATAAGCCTCCCGATTCAAAAAAAAAAAAAAAAAAAAGCATGACAATTGGTAAATACGGAAGTGAAAACATTAACATAATTAAAGAAAAGTAATTAATTATGGAAATGAGCTCTTGCAACACAGCAACAAGTGTCAATAGCAATGCATCTGCCAGTTGAATGTGAAACTTTGTTCCTGCAGTCTGAAGAGCATTGAGGGATTGAGCATCTCTCCATTTCCACTGTTCCAAATGAACATAACTGGCACTCTCCTGATTTCAACCCTATTTTTCATGTGGAAAAAAAAAATGACACTATATTAGAATACATAGTAGTTACTATTTCATTGTTTAATTTAAAAACATGATATAGACATATAGAGCGTTTGTTATATTCACAAGATTTTCACTTTTAAACTTATCAGAATTTTTTTTATAGAAAATCAGAAGTTATTTAAGTTGTAGGTTTCGACTTTTACATGTATCTATTTTTTCTGATCTAAATGAAATAAGATGAACGTAACATGACCTTATTGACTCAATTGATATGTCCCAATCAGTTGCCTCTCAATGCTCAAATAATTATGTGAACCTTGAATTGTGGTAAGCCAGTAACCGCTAAACAATCAAAAGATTTTTCTAATGTGTGTTCATGGGCACACAGTACGTAACATTTAAAAGATTCCTTATACAGAGTAAATTTTCCTTTAAATTTCATCATTCCCATACTCTTATTTTATAGTTTTCCATTTAATTATGCTAAAATTTATTTTTGTAACTTAACATGTGTTACCTCATGAGTATATATACGAGCTACACGTATTAGATAAACAAAATGATATAGAAACTATATATCACATCTATTTTAATTTAAAGAATATTTGCAAACAATATATATACATATTCATAACATATTAAGGAAAAAAAAAATGGACAGACAAAAGAAGCTTGAAAAAAGAAAAGCTAAAAAAATTATAAATAGGAATTAAAATGAAACTTACCAAATGAAAATTGGAAGATAGCTAGGAAGAGGAGTGTTGCTATAGAAGAGGTTTTCATTTTTGGAAACATAGATTCACTTGGTTTACATTTTTCCTCATGTTTGAGCTATAAATAGCAATTGAAAAAGAAACTATATACTAAAAATAACAAGTAGCTCATAATTACTCATATAATGGTTGTGCACTTGTACATTAAGACTAATTAAACTATACAAAAGGAACTTTTGTGGGTTTAAGACTATTGGATAGACCTACTTTGTGCGCTGTTAGTAGCATGATATGGTTCTCTAGAAATATCATAAACCTAATTTTAAAATTAATTAATTAAAGCTTGCATAAATGACAATAATTGTGGTATTTATGTGGCTAAGTGCCTAATATTGGTAAAACCTTTGTTGTATTCTTGTTGTTTTCTGTTAATGATTATTGTAAATTCTAGGATGTCCTAGTCATACACATGCATTTAGTATAGTTAGTAGAATATTGTTAACCTTTGTTGTATTCTTGTTGATAATTTTGTTGTGCACTTGCGCTTCATCTCCACTCTCTAGTCTTAATATGCACCTCTTACTTTCTTAGGTGCGTTTGTTTCCATTTCCACTTTGCAGTTTGCAGTTTAGTCATTAAGGCTTCGTTCTATTCGTGTAAGTTTTGTCTGTCAAAATTTGCCTATAATGTATTGACCCTTATCCGAACTAATTAAACGAATACCACGTATATGTTATTCAGATGAAAAGAATGAACATTTTATCAGTCACAATTTATGAATGATGCATATTGGCACGCGTTTAACAACTTTTATACCCTAGGTTATTGTTCAACGATCACTTCGGTGTAACGTGTACAAATTGTTTAAGAATCGTCAAGCTTTATATGTAGGCTTTTGTGATGAAATTTTGCTAGCATGTTGTGTTCATCATCTCCAACTTTCTACTCGATCACCATTGGACATTAATAATACGACTTATGATGCCAGAACACCAATTGGTAGCGGCCACAAAGAAGAGTGATGAAAATCATATTAAAGTAACAAGATGAAGCATTAGAAGTAATTGAATTTTGTGGTGTTATATAATATATAGGAGTTAAGGTTATGCTGCTACATGAACACAAAGCCATTGCCTACTTTCAATTAATCATTACATAGGAAGTCACTTAAATCACCACTTAGAAGAATCACCAATAATAATCAACAGAATCAAATCGATATTGACCAAGTAATAAACCACTTTCCACTTAACACATTTTTTTTTTTTTTGTAACATAGTTTTTGCTGGCATCTTTGAGCTAACTAATCAGCGATCTTTGCTATAAAAAATATAGATATAGTGCTGCTTCCAACTTTAGCTTTCAACGCACTTTTCTGGAGTCACCACTTTTCTTGGTCCCTAATTTGATTATCTTTCGAGCGCAAAAGGAACCAATGGTTATACATTCTTGATTCTGTTTATTGTGAATAAAAAGTCTGTACTTTAGCATCTTACTGCTATGGAACTGCTAAAGATGCGTATCGTGGATTCGAGCTTAGGAAACAAAGTTATTGGAACGTTTTAATGTGAAATTCTATGGTGTGAATGAATAGAAACGACTCGATGAGGTTATTGCATTGGGACGTTCTTGGAAATCCTATGATCTAGATGGAGGGATGATAAACCCATCTCTTGCATGAGTTAAATAGACAATCTAGTGGTCAGATTTTTGACTTGTTTTACTAAAACTAATTCAGAGTTTTCAAGACCAACTATAATGATATCTAGATTTCAAGTGAACTGTTAAACATCGCCCGCAAATTCCTACATAAAGCCCACAAAATAAGAGTGAAATGACACTTTTGCCCTCAAACTAAAAAACACAATTTCTCTCTCTACTCTCTACTTCCACTTTCTCTCTCTAAATTATTTCCAGAGCTATGTCGAGGCGGCCCGACAAGGAAGTGGCGGCACCGGCGGTGGGCGGAAGGCGGTTTGCCGGCCAGAAGGTAATTTTTTAAATTTTTGTAATTTTTTTTTAAAAAAAAAACCTCCGGCGACGGTGGGGCGCCAAGGCAAGACGCCACCACCACGGAGGAGGCGCCTAGGCAAGACGCCCATACGGTGGTGGCGGCGCCTAGCCCAGACGCCACTACCACGGCGGCGGCGCATAGGCTAGGCGCCACGGCCGTGGTAATGGCGTCTGGGCTAGGCGCCGCCACCACCGTACGGGCGTCTTGCCTAGGCGCCTCCTTCTCTTTTTTTTTTTTAAATTTTTTTTTTGTTTTTTTTTAATTTTAAATTTTTTTTTCGAATTTTTTTTTTTTTTTTTAAAAAAATTTGTTTTTCTTTTTTTTAAATTGTATGTTCCCTTTTTTTTTATCTTTTTTTTTTAAATTTTGTTTTTTTATTTGTTTTAATTTTATGTTCTATTTTTTTTTTAAAAAAAAAATTGTTTCTGGTTTTAATTTTTAATTTTATGTTCCTATGTATTTTTTTTTTTTTTTGAATTATATTTTTGTATGTAAAAAAATTATAAGTTCCCTTTTTTTTTTATAAATTTTCTTTAAAATTTTGATGTTCTTCTATTTTTAAGTTTTTGCAATTTTAAATTTTTTAAGTTTTGTTAGTTTTTTGTTTTTGGTTTTTTCTTTGCATTTTTGATTTTTTGTTTTTGTTTATGTTTTTCATTTTTTAGTTTGTTGTTTATATTTTTTGTTTTTGGTTATATATTTTGTTTTTGGTATATTGTTTTGTTCATATTTATATTTTTTTATGTTTATATTTATATTTTTTATGTTTTTATTTATATTGTGTTGTTTATATTTTTATTTTTTATGTTTATAATTTTATTTCCGTTACTTGTTTATTTGCTTTTGTGTTTATTTTCGTCCTTTTTTGTATTTATATTTTTTGTTTTTGGTAATATTTTTTGTTTTTGTTTTTGTTTATGTTTGTTTTTTTTTTGTTTGTAGTTTATATTTTTTGTTTTTGGTATATGTTTATGTTTATTTTTTTTTATGTTTATATGTATATTGTCTTGTATATATTTATATTTTTTATGTTTATAATTTTATTTCCGTGACTTGTTTATTTGCTTTTGTGTTTATTTTCGACTTTTTTTAATTTGTTTTCGTTATTATGTTTCGTTATTTACTTGGAGTTAGGCATCGCAATTTGGACCTGGTGCGGGGAAGAGTATTGACGTCGTGAGGAGTACGATCTACTCAATGGAGAGCTCGGGGCCCAGACACGTTAGATCCCGTGGTATTTCGGCCTCGGCCCGCAGAGAACGGGTGCACTGTTCTGCGGACGATCAAGATGATGATGATGAGGAGGAGGAGGAGGAGGAGGAGGAGGTCGAGGAGGAGGAGGTCGAGGACGAGGATGATGCAGATGAGGATGTCGACGATCAGAGTGGACCATATGATGATTACGGTCCATTCAGTCAGAGGCTTGATGATACGTATGAGACGCATAGGGTAGATGTGCGTAAGGGTCGAGATGGTAGGTTTGTTAGTAGATCTGGCACATCATCTGCGTCCACTGTGTCTGCGGGTAGCAGAAAACGGTCGAGGGCCATTAATGATTCTTGGATGGTGAGGGGTGAGGTGGCCGGGGGACCTATAGACGGGAGTGTGATTCCTAGCTTTTTAGGACACATCGCTACCCGTATTTGGGAGGACCAGGAGAGGGCTTTGGATACAGGCATTTTGAAATGCCAAACCCGGGAAAAGACTTGTAGGTTTTTGTGTAGCTGGGCTGATGCTTGGCCGGAGGAGAGCGAGATGGTCGGGCGATTGAGGGGCACTAGAGTGAGTCACCTTCCTGCCACCATGCACGACAGGATTGACTGGACGCTGATCACGGCTTTCGTTGAGCGATGGCAGCCGGATACGAACTCGTTCCACCTTCCGTTCGGTGAGATGACGATCATGTTGCATGACGTCGAGGCCATCTTTTTAGTTTGTAATATTTGAAATTATTGTTCTTAGTTTTTAAAATTCAATATTATCTTTTTAGTTTGTAATATTGTGAAATTATTGTTGTTAGTTTTTAAAATGAAACATTATCTTTTAAAAATGAACACATAGAAATGACATAGTATTGACAATACAAGGCCTCATAGTAAAAGGTAGGTGTACATCAACAAAAACTACATGGCAATTAAATTGTTCCACTGTTGCACGCGAGCATGGTACAAAGCATCCCAACCCTCCACGCTTGCTCTACGAATTTCATACCACTTCGGTATGATATGTGGGACCGGAAAATCGGGTGACATGTCTAATCGGATAAAATGTCTGTATGACGGCCCAAGAAATCCAATAGCAACGTCCCTTACCGGTCTGGTGACGGTCTCGCGCGAACACCAGGGCAGAACCGTTGTACATGGATAATAGGCTCGACTATGTAAACCAAGGCCGAAATGCATGACTGCACACTTGTAGATGTTTGCAACGGCAAAGAGATCAAGTGGCGCATCGAACCAATGATTTTGATCGCAAGGTCCCCCTCCCCACCGGATACGCTGCAGAGACCTATCCAAGTCCTCGCCGTACACATGGCCATACACATCTCGGTTTGATGCGATTTCACTGTACATCAACTGCCGCACTAAACCGTAGTTGTCTTCACCCATTTGAAACACATCCGCCACAACCCGAAATCCGCAGTTACCATCTGCAATGACATCATTCCACCCGTCCAAGAATGGCATCATGATATTAGGGATCCTGTCCTTATATGGAAAATGTTCAATGTCCATTCTCCCTGTTACACACATCAATAAACACAATAAACAAGTCAACAGTAAACTAATCAAACAGTCAACAAAAGAAATTGAAGTCGAATGTCTTACCGGTGCCGGGCATATTCACCGACGACGATGATTGGCTGCCACTTGATGAGGATGTACGACCACGGCCACGGCCACGGCCACGACCGCGAATGTACTCAAACGCACTCTTGTTCCGCCGTGGTTGTCGACCCCTAGGTCGCTCGACCCCTTCCGGTTCCTCGGTATCCAAACACGATGTATTGAACATGTCATGAAGTATGTGTGTAGCACTACGAATGATCGAAGGGTGACTGGAGGACACTTGGTCAAACATCAACTGAAACTGCT